ATTTCTCCTTTGTTTCTGCAAGATTCCCTTCATCTCATGATCATCCATAGTCTATGAGTGAGACAGCTCACTCACAGATGACAACTTGTCATCAGCTGCATTGTGGACAGCTTACAAGTGGGATTCTCATCCTTTCTCTAACATTGCCCAAGGAGGACAGCCTGAAGGTGTGCTCTCATTATATTGAAAACACATTCAGTATGTAAAATGTCTAAAGATATAAATGATTGTTAATACCAATGATTAGGCTATGTTATAATAGTGAAACTATTCGTGAAATGAGAGGTTTGAAGAAGGAGAGGGGAACATGTAATGTAATAATGATTTATAATATGTGATGTGGGGGATGGAATTAATATGGCAAATAGGTGCTCCCATAGAAATATGTGATCTAATTGATAAGAAATGTGCTAGATGTTTAAGATATGAATAAATATTAATATTAATGAATAGACTTGTATTGGTTTTGATGATATTGTATAATGTTAGAATGTACCAGACAGAATCCCAACGTAAGTTATGTACTTTAAATCAAGTATTATAAATATAGGGGAAAGAGACATAGGCGTCACACTCCAATCAGTGTACAGGAGAAGGTTTTTCTTTTCTTTTTTCTTTTAAGAAGAAAGATAAACGGATAGTTGGAAATAGAACAGACAAAGAATAAATATTATGATTTGAATTGAGAGGAGATAAATAAAATAAAATTGAGAAAATTTAAAAGAAAGGAGAAGCTATATAGAAAAATGAAAATGTAATAAGATATGGAATGGTATGTAAAATGAATATGAATTTGAATGTGTGTCTGTACCAAGAGTTTTGACCCGGGATTAAGCAACTTTCAGAAAAGAGATTTTTTTATGTTTTTATGTCTTGAATTTTTGTATGTTTTGTATGTCTTTAAAAGTTAATAAAAATTTGTTAAAAAAAAAACACATTCAGGTAAACAATGGCAAGTGTTTTGGGAATCTTCTTCCTCTCAGTAATTAGCTAGGTTTCACCCCAGACATTTCTCTCCCAACCTTTGCCAACTTCTTTAGTGCCTTATTTTCTGAGTTTTCTTCTGGATTCCACACCTTGCTCCCCTCTTTTTCAACATGAAGACATCCAACCAGGCAGAGGACGGTGGAAAAGAGACCTCCAATTTTTCAATAGAAAAGAAAGACGGGGATGTTTCTGCTTATTATTCTGGTCATTTTCCAGCATAGTTATGGTAGTGTTAGTAACAGACTTGACCAGTTTCCAATTTTCTACTGTGTAGAACCTAGATAATCGTAAAATCATCACAGGTTTTACTTTCCTCCTCTCTTAAGCTATTTCTACCCTGGTATCTTTCCACATGCTTCTTTATTTCACATTATTTTAATTATGGAGATGCCAAAAATGGGATGATAGAGGGGCAGAGCAAGTTATTTAGAGACAGACATAGTCCTGAAGTCACATTCACCCTATTCCTCCTCCAGTGTCCCTGTCGGTGAATATTGGAGGCTAATACTTGATCTTTTAAAAGCAGCAGGTCAAGAATAATTTCCTTTTTACTGAAATGGTAGATGTCTCTAGATACTTTACTGGTAGTTATTATATCTACCACTAAATACTGCCTTCAACTGATTAATTTTTGCTTGAATTTTAAATTGCAGGTCTTCTGGTCTCATTTCTGGATTAAAAAAAATCCCTTCTTTTGCAACTCTGTTTTTTGTAGAAGTTTATCTGATTAAGAACTTTTGAGTACATGAAGTTTCTTCTGTACCACTTGTGGAGGTCCTAATAAATATCTTGCCCACAGAGTCGGAACAACTATAGTGGTTAAGATGTTAGACTAGGATCGGTGAAATCCAATAAAATAGCTCCTTCTATTAAGATATCCCAGTCAATAATATACAAACCTAACTAATCCACAGAATTGCTGCTATGGGGAAAATGAGATAAGAGTGTGATTGATGTCTGAGCTTCTGAAGGAAAGATTGGGTTAAAGTCTAACAAAAATAAAATATGGATTAGAAGTTTTTACTTTGAAGATAAAATGGATTTCCAGTGACTTCCAATATTTTCCAGTCCTGATATTGGCAATACACTAGGCAAGAATGTGTTCTATTAAAATAATACTTCCTGATAAAGTTTTCATCAGTCTGGAATACTTTGGGAAGATGAATGAATAATTTTTTCCTGTCACACTTAAGATTTAAAAGTGGCATGTTCTTCAACTGTTTTTTGAAATAGTTTTAATTGTGCCCAGGAGCTGCTATAAAAGCAGAACATG